CTACAAGGCTTTGACAGTAGAGCGTGACATACCAGTTTAAGTGCTGATGGTGATAATACTACTTGTTTAGAATTAGGAAAGCGCAGGCTTATATGAATCTGACAAAGTGCAAGTCCTGTGGACTCAGACCACAATCTCCTGTCTTATAAACATGCGACATGGCCCTGCCACCCCTCCATCCTCTTCACGTGGACTTTGTAGGATTCAAATTTGCCCATTATTGTGTGTCAAGGCAACTAAGACACTATGTACCTCAAAGTGAGATAAAACCAATATCTGACCAAAGTCTATAAAGGACTGAGATCAAGGCTTTATGGTAATGCGATGGATGTTGCATCAAAGCCGCAGCTAAAGGCATCTTTATTTGTGATGTTGTCGAATTGTTAATTAAAGTGTTGCAATAATCATCTATTTCATGATAGCCCTCATCCCTCCCCCCACCAACACAAGCACAAAATCCAATAGCCTGTTCTCATCAGCACAGATATTAAAGTTTCCCCATGCACATCCACAGATCTGCAAGTTGTATGCAAGATTTCAGTGATGTTAGCAGAAATAAGCAGCGTTATTTGAAATCTGTTTTTTAACTCCCTCAGATTGTTTTCCAATTATGGGAACTCGTCCTCCAGTGTAAGAATTCATGCAGTATTAGTTTTTGCAGAAATAAATCTCTGGCTGAGCCTGTTCGGTCTGTAATGGATTTGTCAGGTCTGATAAATGTTCTAAAATTTAAAGAGGCTGTTTGGGCAAAAAAAAAAAAGAATATAACGCAAGTTTTTATATTAAAATAACAACTTTGTTTTGATATTTGTAAAAAATAATAATAATAATCTTCACGACTGGAATGATTATAATAAATCTGTTTTCTGATGTGCCATGGTCAATTAAAGTCCACCGAACCAGAATGTTTTGTGGCTTTATGACATCGTGTCATAAGAATCAACTTCTTTCAGGGAAATACAGATGCAAGCAGACTGAGAGCTGTCATCTCTGCGGAGTATCCTGATCTCGCCCAAGGTTTTCCCTCCCCTGGACATCCCAGCAATGCCTCAGTTAGGAGGCATCCAGGAGGCATCCTTGTCATATGTCCGAGCCAATTAATTCCTTTCAATTTGGAGCGGCAGTTGCTACTCTGACCTCCCCCTGAATAACCAGGCTCCTACCTCATCTCTAAGTGAGACCCCAGACACCCTTTAGAGCAATTATTATTATTTCACTCATGACGTATACTGTAATAAAATTGAGATCCTTGCTTTCATGTGCAACTTTTTTTTTAACACTACAGACCGGTACAGCGATCAAATCGCCGCAGAGGTTGCACTGAGCCATCTGTCAGTTTGACTTGTGATTCCCTGAAAACATAAGTCATTATTACACTTATGATTAGAAGATTTCACCAACATTTTCTCATTCCCAGAAAGCTGAATATTCCCATTTTGTTAATGCGGGTGGTGTCTCACAGATAGACCTAAGACATGAGTGCTGTGACAACCAGGTTTAGGCAACAGCGAGGTGGGTCTTGACTGCTTGGCATCATTTTTCAGTATTGAGGGCTTTTGTTGTTAAGATGCATACTTTAACTGAGACCTCATTTTTGTGATAACTTCTGTGATAACTCTTCTGGGGAAAACAGGGGGCTGAGCCCAGACATCGTTTGGAGGAAGTTCAGTCTTATTCTTTCAGTCCCAACTTACAGGTCATGGACATCTGTGAGGTTAGGAACATAAAGCAAGCAGTAAATCAACCACTTCAGCTTTCATCCTGAGCTTTCCCTTCACCACAGCAAACTAGTTCAAGGTTTCAACAGACAGTGCACAAAAACTCACATGCCAGCAAAAACGCTACTCAAGTTGCTTTCTTGCAAAAAGGGCCAGCATGTTTAGGGATCGTCCTAAAACTAATAAAAAATACACCCCACCGTTCACGGGGAAGGGCTGCCCATTTCTCAGATGTGTGCCTTCCAGAAACTAGAGTCCAGGTGTGCAGACAGCTGGACTGATTAGAACAAAGGCAAATCTGTTTTATTAGATGATTGAAAAACAGTGCCAAAGGGCTTTTAGATTAGAACAGTAGGACAAAGAAATTGGAGTTTTTAAAACCTTTTTAGCAGGAAGAAAAAACCCCAAAGCCTCTACTGTCTGCAACAATGCAACAACCAGAAAAGAGGCTTGACTCTGAGCTGAAACGAGCAGGACTCATAGCTGTCATTAAAGATGCAGAACCTTGCTTGTGTTACTATCTTTTTTTAGCACAGTTGTAAACTGTGAAGTTTCTTTTTTAGTCTGTCAATCTTTTAGCCATTTTTCCAAAGTTGATTGTGTGCCTTTCTTTGTCTGCTTGCCTTTTGTGATTGGGACACATTTAACATCATCTTCTTTGACATTTTCATTTAAACTGTTATTTTTACTTTTTAGAGGTTTTCAGTCGTTATTAGTGCCTGAAGGACGTAAAAACTGATTGATTTTTAAATGCCAGTTTTGTGCCTAACTTTGCTTAACCTTTTGGTTGCCAGATATTCTATAACCCTCTGAATAATGAAAGCTTTATTGGCTCGAGCCAAAAAAAAAAACAAAAAAAAAACTGGCACCAGCTGAACAAATGGTTTTCTTGAGGATAGTCCAGCAGTCTCGCATGTTAAAGCCTGACACTCTGTACAGCCAATCATCCACCTGGTCTTCTCCCTGAAGATGCATTTAAGCTGCACGCAGAGCATATTTCACCCACAGTGTCTCTCCAATCTCTGTTGTTGTGCCACAAACTAACAATGTACTGTCTGGCATCTTTGCTACAGTCACGTGTGAGTGCAGTGTTGCTGTGTGTTTGTCTGTTTAAATTTATACATTTATTTAGTCATGAGGACAAAAATAAACCACAAACATCTAACCTGTACCAGATTTGTATGGATGTTTCCACAGCTCATGGCCAGGCTGAACAAACAAATGTGTAGTGCTCGTGGGTTTTAACTAAAGATTAATAGAATTCTATGACTATATGTAAATCTTGGACATATTCATGTACAAGTGTATTAAAAACATCCAAGGAAATCCACTGAAAAAGGAACAGTGTACTATTTTATTGTCTGTATAGAATGGGAGCTATGATGGGATCTACTGATTGATTCAGCTCATGAATATTTCAGTTTTGTTGGGTTAATGACTGATATTTTTCTGGCATGGGCACTTTTGAATATGCAGTGTTTGACTGACACCTGAGCATGAGTTAAGTGATGGCGCTCAGTCAGATGACCCTCTACTACTCTTGTTCTGATTTTTTCAGTTCAGAGCTGATCAAAATGAAGTCCGACATCTAACGTCTGGAAACTGGGAGGTGACAAAGATCATTGCCTTTGACGAGGACACCGATAACCTGTGAGTGTGACCGCAAAACTCCCCCTAAAACCTACAAACTTTACTGACCTCAATAAAAAAATAAATTTAAAAAATAGTCATCCTCTCACCCCAGAGTAGTTAAGAAACCGATAGTTTGGATTTCTTATAGCACACAACTTGATTTTAGGATTTTACGGATCACCTTGTGTGGTTCTGGGCTCAGGCTACCCAGCAGAAATGTTGACCCCATATACACCAGTCTGCGGGCTTACATCCTGTGGTGGAGCCATTCTGGCCATTCCAATGTTGATGCTTAAATTAAAGCTGGCAGTGCCTTGACCATCAGGACCTCTCAGCTCACCACAACCTGCATGAAGAGATAAGGATTGCAAATGATAAGATGAAAAAAAATAAACTTAAAACGATGACTTTTCTTTTTCCACTCTGTTTCTCTTATTCTAATTGTAATTTTATTTCAGTTTTATTATTGCCCATCTGTATGATTGTTCTGTTTTACTTCTCTAACAAATTAGGAGCTTGTTAAGGTGAAATTTGTACCCTCCTATTCATAATTCCTCTAATCACAGAGTTCCTGATCGTGGTTTCAAGCAGTGATGTGTTTTGCCAAGTCTGTGACCACAAGCATGCGTAACTGAATCTTACTTAGCTAATCTAATGCTGTTGTGTTTTTAAAAGATTGAATAGAGCTGACCAGAGTGCTGATCTTACATGTTTTTAGCCACAAACAAAGAGAAAGATTTAATTTAAAGAAAAAAACAACAATAACAAGAGCTGGGTTGATAATGAACGAAGGAGTTAGTACTGAGTTGTCTCCTTTTCTCCTTGGTTCACTGTGGATACCACACATGGCACGTGTGTGTGTTTTAGTAATTAAATGTATGAATTTCGCTTAAACAAAGAAAACAAGGAGATAATGAGCTTTTGTGTTTAATTTAGCATGTCTGTTTGCACTGATTATCTTTTATGTCCTCTAACAGTTATTTTCTCAGCACCGAGGGTTCACCACGGAGACGGCAGCTTTTCAGGTTTGCATCATTATTATTAATTAAATAATTTTTATAAAATGATTAAAAACTTTTCAAACTTATATCATGAGAACTCAAGGGACTTTTATTATTAGTAAATTTACTCACATGATGATGATGATGATGATGATCATGGGATAAAAAAAAGTATTAAAAAATGGTTGCAAAGAATTTTTCACTTTCACAATTGTCACATTATTATCACGTTGATATATTGTTGACTTTTTGGAGCTAGTAGAGATTAATCTGAATATTTTGGCCACTTTATCACCAGTTTACACTTACAATTTTATTATTGATCACCTCCCAGTTATTTTTCTGACTACTGGTTAAATATAAAAATGCCAAAAAACTGTGAAAAATATGCTTTATGTAAAGGGGTAAACTATACCAGCCTGTAACGAGACAGGTAATACTTTCCAGTTGGATATGATTTATTACTGGTTTGCTCGCTTCGGGGGAGTTATCATGAAAAAAGATCAAGAAATATGTCCTTTACTTTCTTACTCAAAAAGTTTTCTGTACTTTGTCTCTTTTTCCATTTTTTAAATGCTCTTCTCTTCTCAGTGTTAAAACTGTGGGCCTGTTCCCCCGACGGTGTTTAACATGTGAACTGAATAAAGCCCACTGTTTGTACTTCGACGCTGACATCAGCCCCACGAACCAGCACGTTATCCTTCACTGTAAAGGTAGGCCAACCAGTATCTCACTTTAAGGGCCCTCCAGTTTTCCTGCTATGAAATGCCCTTTCAAATGAGTGTCTTTAGCTTTCATAGGGTGACAGACTTCCAAGTGATTGGGGTCTTATTATGAAAAATTATATTATAAAATAGTTCAGGGATTTGACTCTGAGGTTCAAATGTGGGCGTGATTAAGAGAATCACAACAGTCTGCTTCCACCCACGTTGTTAGATCAGGGAATGAATTTAACCTCTTAACAACGTGCAGGCTACCAGTAATACACACAGGGGTTCAGGTTAGGTTAACACCCCCATCTTCTTATGAAATATTTGCTTGTTTGGCATTCCCAAATGGGAAAAACTATTAAAGAAGAACTGCAAGTTCAAAATGCAAATATGAGACTTGTTATTATAAAAAAGTATTGCTTCAGAAAGTACAACCAAACTAACTAAATGAGTTCACAACAGACCTGAGCTGTGTACTGCAAAGCAAATTAAACATATCTGGGCTTTCTTTACTTTAGCTGGTTCAACAAAACCTACAACCCAACTCAGAGGTAACGGGTATTCATGACAGTGGTTATCAGCCACACTGCTTCAGGCTATGTGCATGCTCACATAAAAGGAGGCATTTGAAGTGTCATTTCGCTTTCCATCTGCACAAAGTGGATGAATTGAGTGCAGCACTCTCCAAATCCAATCAGAGACATTATCAGACATACAGGTGATAAGGATCTATAAAGGATATACAAAAGCACTGACTGTCCTATAGTTTGCAGCCAGATAAACAAAAGTTTTTGCTGGTAATTAGACTATCAATAGACTGACTGAGTTTTCTTATCTGTGTTTTATTAGCGTGGTGTAAAACAGACTTGAAAGCATAACATAATACATCTGTTTATCAAACGCATTTCTTCTGCTGAACATCTTTATAGCACTTAGAGTGTATGGTAATGAAAAGAACAGATACAGACAGGCAATTTTTAACTGAAACTCTGAACCCAACCAGCTTCAGATCAGGATGTATGTTCAGCAAAAGTTACCATGGTGACCCACCCAGGAAAAAGGCATCTGTCTTCACGACACTGAAAACTCTGACTTTAAGCTCGACACACTTCACTAACCCATTAATCTCGTTTTGTAGCATACCTCTCCGGTGGATGTCAAGAGAATATTTGAATGTAATCCTGCTCTTTTAAAATGACTTTTTCTGCCTGCTGAATTCCAAATCAAACTTTCTGACATTTTTTGCTGTTGTTACACACTTGCAGCTTCATAACTTACCCAAAACTAACACAGCAGTATTGACGTTTTCTTTCATTCCAGTCCTTCGTAGCCTGCTCTCTATGCCAACCAAACAGCTGGAATTGAACAACTATACTGTAACGAGCCTTATTATGGTATAGCACCACTAGGGGGTGTCATTCTATTATTGTAGTAGTTACAGAGTATCCTAGTGTGAATGCAGCGGCAGCCATTACAGCCAAGCATGCTGTTGTCCGTGCATCTGTTTAGAGAGACCTTACCATTGTAACAGGCTGGCACCAGCGACTGCCTAACCCTGGGCACATGTATGTACGAATAGGATGGAGCTGTGGAGACCTGGCTTGTATGGTTTTCTTCTGTTAACGGCACATAAAGGTCTTTTGTTCTATTTAACTGACTGGCCTCCAAGTTTTCCGGCTAGCCTCCACACCACATGTCCACTAGACCTGCTAGCCGATCCTTCTTCGCCAGACCACGTTACGATACATCAGCACGTGCAGATACTTACATGATGTTGGGATGACTCCGCATCATGGCATCTGGCCTGTATCACCTAAATTAGGTTAGGATTAGGTTGTGTTTTAGGTTCCTTATTTATTCAGCATCCATTTATTCATCTGGCACATGCCTGGGTTTGCTTGTCATAATCTGTCACCCTCCTGATTCAGTTTAAAATTAATCTCTCATCAGTTTGAAATGAGAGTCATAAAATGAATAATTAGCCACTACATTGTGTGTAATCGCTTTTAGGGAGTATTATTGGGCAACAAGTAGATTATTTAATGAGGGGTAACTCATATTGTTTGTGGTTTCAATTTATTTTGAACAGCTGAAAGCTCTTCATGCGCAGGAAGCATTTGGGCTTTGGCGTGATGATATATTGGACAATAACTGCGTTCCCTTTCCCAAAAGCAATAAAAATAATGGAGAAAGCTTGTTGTCTTCCAAAGGCCAAGTTCACGTAATCCCGACAAGCTTCTTCTCACACCTGTTTTCATCAGCACAAGCCTCTTAAACCCACTCATAAAGTGATCTGATTGGTTTACTGTTTTCTAGCAGGTACATGCACAAAATGAAGCCATTTCTCTGTGTGACATGAGGAATCGCATGGGTCAAAGCTAATACAGCCCACCAACAGAGAAGTGCAAGGAAATAAAGGAAAAGTTGGTTTGTGTTTTAACTCAAAGAAAGGAGAGCTTTAAGTACAGCACACCTGCCATCCTATTAACCTCTGACAAAGTATATTAGAGAAGGGCATTAACAAGTACTGGCTTAATTTGATATTAGGGAGGCATCTCGAGTGACCTTTAACCCCTAATTGATTTAAGAAAATATAGGGAAGGTGACATAACAGCTGCCTACACTGGCCCTTTAGAGCAGCTTTAAAGGAGCCCCTTTACATATATTAAATACCATTTAATACCATTTAATAGTAATTAGGCAAACTGTCAGGTGGAAATGTTTCCAGTCATGATAATAAAGATGCTGGAAATTGCTTAAATTACTCAGATGCTCTTTTTGTCTCCTTTCAGGTCCTGGAGCACCTACTGTGATCCTACACAGTCTGAATAATTCAAGTAAGTTTATTTGTATCTCACATTTTAGAAAAAGTAACTCAGAGTTTGTGAATGAGGTGACATTCAAACACTATAGGCCTCTTGCAACAACTGTAAATGTTATTTTCCCTTGACAAGCAACATGGGTGGGGTGGAGGAGGGTGTATTCATGGGACTGACTGCTTTAATTTGAATCTATTTTGAGTTTAAGTGTAAGTGTTGTAGAAAAATTTCCATACAAAAATAGATGACAAAGTCAAATCACATAAGACTTACCCAATGTTCCTGTTCACCACAGTTATTTTCAGCCAAAATCTCTGTTACTGTCTTCCCCTTTGGGTGACTGCCAAAGAGTCACTGGTCGCTGTGTTTCAGAGAATTTGTAACAAATATAGATTTCACTGATAAAAATGGAATTTCTCACAGAGCAAAGAAACTCTTCTGTTTTTCTTTCCCAATTTTTGTGAATGTAACTGACAATCACACAGTGCAACAAGTAGCCTCTATGCTAATGGCAACATTTCTGGAACTTCATGACCAAGGTGAATTTTCCGGGCTGAGGCAAGCAAGTTATGAGAAGTTCAGAGAGCTTAGAAGCTCAGCTTAGTAGACTTAATAAGGCAAATTTATAAATATTCAAGTAATTTATGAATATGCACTTTTTAGGTATACATATTCAGCCACTTACCAATGCAAATGTTGAAATCTGCCAATCACATGAAAGCAACTGTTAGAGTCAAATTGTTAAATGTTGTCATTGTGTTACTTAAATTTGTAAGTCTTGGTGCAAACTATGTGATCAAAGACATTCCTTTGTTTCTGACTCCCTCCCCAGCCTGTTGAATGGTGGGGGAGGCTGTAGTGTTTTATTATAGGCACATCCTAGGTGAAGGTTCTGTTTTCTTGCTTAGTAAACTTGAGGCCTTGAGGCGACTTTTGTTGTGATTTGGCGCTATATAAATAAAATTGAATTGAATTGAATTGAATTAAACTTCCTGCCTTTATGACCCTTTGGTGAGCAGGAGGTCACACAAAAGCACCCCCAAACACAAACACAAACACACACACACTCACAGGCACCTACACACACACACACATTCTCGCACATGCATACAAACATACAAGGGCCCGACACACCACAGGGGGTGTTACAATGGGTGGTGCCATTGTAAACTGTAACTGTATTCAATAAAAGGCTGCAAGGAAGGCTGTTTATTTGAAGTTGGCTAGGAAACAGGTGAGGAGCGTTCAGCTCCAAGAACCTGGTTCCGACCAGCGTCCTTTGCTAGCAAGTAAAATTGTTCGATTACTGTTTGTCTTGCTTCGTTAACGGGAATAAGTCTCTAAACCGGCGGGGCCTGTGGAAGCGCAGACCCAACAGCAACTCTGGCATGTAGACATGGATGTCCTGCTGATTCTTAGCATCAGAATGGAGAAGAAAAATTACATCAGTAATTTTGAAAGTGACAATGTTGGTGCCAGACGGGTTGGTCTGAGTGTTTCAGAAACTGCTGATTTTATAGAGAATGATCAGAAAAAGAGAAAATATCCAGTGAGCATCAGTTCTCTGGATCATAAAGCCTCGTTGATGTCAGATGTGAAAAAAAAAGCCCCAGGAAGGCAACAGGAACTCAAATAACTACTTTTTACAACTGAAGTATGCAGAAGAGCATTTTGAACCTTGAAGTAGATGGACTACAATAGCAGAAGACCACACCACATGCCACTCCCATCAGCAAAGAACAAGAAACTGAGGTTACAATTCACATGGGTTCAGTGCACCCATATTGTGATGACTGCTTCCAGCAGGATAACACGACACGTCACAAAGCTCAGATGATCTGAAACTGGTTTCTTGAACATGACAATGCGTTCCTTGTACTCAAGTGGCCTCAATAGTCACCAGATCTCAAACCAATACAGCATGTCTGGAATGTGGGATGTGTTGGATTGGAAGATTCCCATCATGGATGTGCAGCTGACAAATCTGCAGCAACTGTGTGATGCCATCATGTCAATATGGACCAGAATGGTTGAGGAATGTCTCCAGCACCTTGTTGAATCTGTGCCACAAAGAATTAAGGCAGGCAACCTACTTCTAACCAGGTGTACCGTGAGATTCAAATATTACTAACCCTTATCTGTTTAAAGTAGGGGAAATCCTAAAATCGAATGAGTCCCATTTAGTAAAAGGCCTGATTTCTGGAGAGGGGTCAGCAACCCACATGTCCTGACACTGGTACAGTTCAAGACATTTACTCATTAAAGCCACCCCTAAATGCAGAAATAGAGGGAACTAAACATATTTCCAAGCATTTAAAACTGTAACAAAAACATGTAATAGAGTCTCTCTATTACCCAAAACAACCACAGAAGAAGAGACAGGCAAGGTTTAGCATTTGTTAGGGCCAAGTGCATTTAATTTTTGCATTACAGGTACTCACCAATGCCATTATATCTTTTTAGTTTTTACAATATTTTTTTCTGTCTCTTTTTTCTAAAACAAGTTGGCCCTGAGCAGATTTTCCCTATCTGAACCACCAGATGTGACCACTGCAGTATCCCATCTTTTCTGGAAATGAACGCGAATAGTAAAGAGTTTCTGTAAATATCCTCACATGCAGCGTCAGATTCCTATCCTTGCCTGACAGTCGATTTTGTAAGTGGCTGGGTGGGCATTAGGCCGAGGAAATGTAGTTGGTATAAGACCTAAATACAGGCTGACAAGTATTTCCTCTTGAATCTGGTCGTACGTCAGAGCCAGCAGAGCTCACACGACAGTCACACTCGGGAAAATAGTGGTTGGAGACGACGATGCAAACAAAGTGATTGCGAACATGTGCAATCAACTTGCAGTTTCCTTGCCTGGGAAGTTGTAGCTTTGTGGAAGGGACATTTTGATAGACATGAGTTATATAACTGCACCTAGTGAAGGAGGTACAAAAAATGAAGAAGCATGAATGTTGCTCTCTGTGTGTGTACACTGCTGAGAAAAGACTGGGAGAGATGCTTTCACTGATCTATGTATACAAATGTGACTAAAAGCCTGAAACACTGGAAACCACTCTGCTCATTGTCAAAGAGTAAGGGTTGAGGGTGCCGCATGCCCAAAGTCTGGTTGATCAGTTGGTTGTCACAACTACCTGCAATCAGTCTCCGACAGCAAAAATCTATTTACTGCATTCAGTCACCCACCACCAATTTTCCCAGGTTGTAGGCTCTTCCATTGACCACACAGTCAACAAATCCAGATTTCTTTCTTCTATTTTTGGCATGAATATGGACACACACACTCTTTTTCTCGTTATCCACATGTATGTGTTGTCTCCCAAGGAAAAAACAACAACAACAACAAAAAAAAAGAAAAGAAAAAGTTAACAGTTGTGCTGCAGAAAAAGCAATTTGCACAGGGTTATTAGGACAGGGCCTCCATCCACAGCTGGGAACTCAAGGCCTCTGGCGGTTTCATAATGAGACGTCTATTGATTTTGGGTTTTCTATTAGAAATGCTGGATGAATTCCATTTCATTTAGCTGCTGTTCAGATGGCTTGAATGGAAAAATGGCCAAATCAGAGAGTCACTGTTCATTACATGTGGAGAAAATAGTGGGGCTCCTCTTTTTGAGGCCAGAAGCTGCTGTGTGTAGAATGCCTTTCAGAAATTGAACTTTTTAAATTTATTTTTCTGTGCTCATCCAAGTTTAATATTGGCTACATTATTGTAGTTATTCAGCTCTCTCTATGAATTTGCCACAGAATAAGACTATTTCAGAAACGATCCCCTAGAATCAGATCTTATTTGTCTGACATACACTTTCCATCTCATCTCATTACATCACAGCCTCAAAAGACAATCCCGTACAGGTCATTTGCATTCAGATTATTGACAGCAATTTTTGCACTCTTTCATCCTGTAAACACATTGCCCTCATCTTTACAGATTACTACATCCTTGAGAACAACTCTTTGCTGAAGACAGCCTTGAAGTACAAAAGGATCCAGCTGACAGACTTCAGAACTGTTCCAATGGAACATTTTGGTGAGGAAGTGTAGGTTTCTGTGGTGTTAGTGTAACTCACTGGTGAACTGCAATACATCGACTTTTCTCTCATTTCTTGTTTAAGATTTACCTTTGAAGATCTCGTACCCACCAGACTTCTCTGATTCCCGCCACTATGGACTTCTGTTGGTCGTGTATGTATCACATGTGCTTTCTTCTATATCTCACAGTCCTTGGTCAAGTAAGAGAGAACAGAAAATGTATGAATATTTAATGCAGTTAGTTTCCAGTTGTAATCACACTCCTGACCGTAATTTGCATGTAAAGTAACCGGGGTCATGTTAAGTCAATCACAGCGTACCTTTGTGGCAACCTGTGATTCAGTCTTCTTCATATCCATTTGAATAATGCACCAATAAAAGCAAAAATAATCACTGACAGGATGAAGTGTTCTATGCCAGACTGATTGTAAAGAGAACTTATTTTCCTTATTTTCTGTCATGTAAAATGTATATAATAAAACTGAAAGGTTGCACGAAGGTCCAGATGAAGGAAAATAAACATTATTTTTAACTGTTAAACAGCTAAAAATAAGTCAATGTACCATACCTTTGCACTGGGTCACATGTTGCATTATGAAAAAAGCTTTTTCAGTCTTTAGAAGGAATCAGCTTAGACGTACTTGTCTTGACTCAAAGTAGATTAGACCAACTTCTGAGGTAACTTTTGAAAGTAAAACAAATGAGCAAAAATGCTAAACTTGAACAAATTCCTTAATAGTATTTTGATAAATACTGTAAGCCTGTTATTATGCACTTTCAATCCAAAGAGTTCTAATGGCTCTCTGAAGGCTGCTGCCCACCGAGGAGCAGTGGAACAAGATGAAGGATATTTGTGGCGCAAGCTGTGCGTTTGTTGTTTGTCACAGGCTTCAGGATGACAAGCTAATTGGAAAAGCAGGGTTTCTTCCAGAAAACTGACCAGCCCTAGGATGGTTCGGGTGATTGCAATTAATCTGCACTTGATAAATGTGGCGCAATCTTACCACCAACCACTATAACACTGTAATGTCATTGCACACACACAGTGTTTTTTTTACTTGTTTTGTAATCCGGTTCCTCCTCATTTCCTCACTACATTGCTTAGCTACATGTTGATAGCCAAGGTAACAAGCAGAGAGTGAACATTTTGAAATTTGTCTTTCATAATTTTTTCTTTCATTTTCAGACCTCTTTTACTGTGGAAGTTGTATCAGCTCAAAAATGAATTTCTTCCAGTTACAGAGGTTATATGACCAATGCGGCTTCATGCTGCCTGAAAGTGCCTGATTATGTTTGTTCTCTGTTCAGTGACGGCGCCCCTGGAGGTCAGGCTGTGAGTGACCGTTTCTCCCTCAGCTGGGACTCGGTCCTCGTCAGCTCTGACAACATCATCGTGGCCCGTCTGGACGGCCGGGGCGGCGGCTTCCAGGGTCAAAGGATACTGCACGAAGTTCACCAGAGACTGGGGACTGTTGATGTTCAGGACCAGATTGCAGCCGTGGAGTATGTTATCACATCCATTTTGTTTTACTTTTAACCATCTTGTACTTTGAGATAAAAAATTCAAAATATGTGCAAATCCCCTGAACAAGAGCTTTGTTACTCAGTTTGGAATTTAAAGCAGAGTGCCATCCTCTTTTTATTTGATCTGAATATTTCTGCACTACTGTGTCTAATTTAAGTCTTGAAAATGGTTATCAAGTCAAGAATAAAGGAAGAAAATCCTTTAAAGAATAAAAGTTCCAGATAAATTCCTTTTGACATAATAGACTAGAATTAAATTAGAAACCATAGTGTAGACAGTTTCAGATGAAATCATAAGAGGTTCTGGATGTTTCATTATTTGGTTTAGGAGCTGCCAGTTCAGACAGCACATGGATTTAACAGCAGACAATACAAACCTTTGTTAAATACTGTAAGATACTGATTTGCTTTGCTGTTATTTCCAAAAAATACCTAAATAACAACAAATTCAGAATGCTTATCTTAAAGGCTAATCAAAAAATCTATGCAAAAACTGTCACAACTCCCATGATTAAAAAA